CTTCAGCCTGTCACAGATACTGAAGGGAAATGCAGAAACAGGAAATTACAGACTATTTTAAACAGCATGTTTTATTAAACTCACTTGCTGATGCACTTTATGGCAGGATGCAAGATTCAAGTGTTCATAACTTACATCTTTGCAAGTGCTTTTCCTAAGTGTGTTCTCTCCCAGCTAAAATATGGCATGTACCCAGGGCTGGAAGTAATCTCTAAATTACTAACTGTTTCACCTCAGGTCATGTAGCTATATCACATTAGATGGAGAATCTTTAGCTCTGTCAGAAAAAAGAAACCATACCTCACTATTGTTGCTGTTGTTAGGTGCCATCCAGTTGGCTCCGACTCAAAATGACCCTACGTACAACAGAACAAAACACTGCCCAGTCCTGTACCAGCCTCGTCTGTCAGTTTGTCATACTGTGGTGGATTGCAGTTGCTGTGAGGCTGGAGGCTATGCCACCACTATTTCAAATACCAGCAGAGTCACCCTTGGTGGACAGGTTTCAGTTGAGCTTTCAGACTAAGACAGACTTGGAAGAAGGAAGGGGCCATCCACTTCTGAGAAAATTGGCCAATGAAAACCTTATAAATAGCAGTGAAACACTGTCTGATATATACTTCACTAAAAAAGCCAAGCATAGTGGCTAAAGCACTTGACTGCTAACCAGAGGGCTGGCGGTTCAAACCCACCAGCCACTCCTCGGAAGGAAGGTTGGGCAATCCTACTTCCGTAGTGATGTTGTTGTTGTTATGTGTCATCGAGTCAAATACGACTCATAGCGACCCCTCCTTGGGTTTCCAAGGCAGTATCACTACGGAAGTAGGATTGCCCAACCTTCCTTCTGAGGAGTGGCTGGTGGGTTTGAACCGCCAGCCGTCTGGTTAGCAGGCAAGTGTCTTAGCCACTATGCTACCTAGTGATACTGCCTCAGAAACCCAAGGAGGGGTCGCTATGAGTCAGGGCCGACTCGACGGCACATAATAACAACAACAACAAAAAAGCCAAAAACCAAACCTACTGCCATTGAGTTGATTCCCACTCATAGCAACCCCCATTGGGTTTTCGAGGGGGTAAATCTTTACAGAAATAGATTGCCCAGTTTGCCTTCTGTGGAGGGGCTGGTGGGTTTGAACCACCAACCTTGTGGTTAGCAGTCAGATGCCTTAGGCACTGTGCCACCAGAGCTCCTTATCTACCTCACTAACGTACTGCCATCAAGTTGGATCAGACTCATAGCGACTCCTCTTTGGGTTTCCGAGGTGATATCACTACAGAAGTAGATTGCCCAACCTTCCTTCCCAGGAAGGCTGGTAGGTTTGAACTGCCAACCTTCTGGTTAGCAGTCAAGTGCCTTAGGCACTGCGCTACCAGAGCTCCCAATACCTCACTAGGGCCTAAAGGAGGTATGGTGGCACAGTGCCTAAGGCATCTGATGGCTAACCAGAAGGCTGGTGGTTCAAACCTAGCCATTCTGTGAGAGAAAGATGGAGCAATCTACTTCTATAAAGATTTACTGCTTTGGAAACCCAGTGGGGGTCATAATGAGTCAGAATTGACTCAAAGGCAGTGGTTTGGTTTTGGTTTAGGCAGATCTAGCTTATGCATTCTAAGAAAGCCACAGAGGCACCTTGTAGTAACTTAAAAGATTCTTAATGTATTTATTTTAGACCATCAAATCAAAACACAGCCACCTGAAAATGAATTACTAGAAACCATACACTGTGTCTTTTGTTAACTACTGGTTTTCGTTCTCTTCATAGGATAGTTCTGAATCTTTGCCTTTTTAAAATGCCTAGTAAGGCTGGCATGGATGTGATAACCTTAACTACAAACTTAACTATTTCAAATGTAAGGGGCTGCCATAAAGATGGATTTGGAAACAAATTATTTCCAAAAATATTTCCTGCTCAGTTTCTTTGAGGGATATAAAAGCTGAGTTGCATCACCTAAGAATCCTTCTACCTTTGTCTGTATCTGTTGTGAAGGTGACATCTCTTAACGTCTGTGTCTTCTACAAGTTGTTTTCCTCTTTCCTTTTGCTGCACAGAAAGGAAGTACTGTAACCAGGTGGAGCTGTGATATCAGTTCATGATGGGAAGGGTGGGCAGCCATGCTTTTATGGAATGAACTATGAGCTCTAAAAATAAATGTTCATTCACTTTGCTTCAGCATTTATTTAACAAAATAGCATGCAAATTGTTCTAAATTTTTATTGTTTCAAAAGATCATGCCAAAGATGCCTTATCCTCATTTTTGACTGGTTGTCAAACACTTGCTTCTTTAAGTCGCAGGTTTCCCTCCCTTCCTTCTACGCTGCCTCGCCTAGCAAGCCTTGTCCCTAGGACTCCTTTGAGGTGAAGTATAGAATAAGAGGATTTTGAGAGTGGAAGCATAATGATGATACTTTTGCCCTTTTCAAGTACCTTTGCCAGACCATCTTCTACAATCGACAAAGGTTACTGATTTGGTTGAAGACATCAACCTAGACTTGCTAGAGGAGTAACAATTAAAGGCATTCTTCAGGGCAGGCCCATTTTATTAAGCGAAGATTTCCTCTAACTTATCTTAAAAGGAGTTCTGGTGGCGTAGTGTTTAAAGCATTGTGCTGCTAACTAAAAGGCTATCAGTTCACACCCACCAGCCCTTCCACAGGATGACTATGAGGCAGTCTGCTTCCATAAAGATTTATAGCCTTCTACTCTGTCCTAAGGAGCTCTGGTAGCATAGTGCCTAAGGCACTTGACTGCTCACCAGAAGGCTGGCGGTTCAAACCCACCAGCCACTCCTCGGAAGGAAGGTTGGGCAATCCTACTTCTGTAGTGATACTGCCTTGGAAACCCAAGGAGGGGTCGCTATGAGTCGGGGCCGACTCGACGGTAAACAACAACAACAACACTCTGTCCTAAAGGGTTATGATGAGTCAGAATCAACTCTATGGCAGTGTGTTGGGCTTTTTATCTTTATAAAGTCTGGATTCTGCATTATCAGGGTTTCTTTAAAGCAAAGTACAATGTGCAAGGCATTATTTTTGTTGAGTAGACAACTATGTGGGGTGCAGGGTATCTTAGCTTTTCCAAGTCACTAAGGATGTAACTATAAAACCCAGTTAATAAACTTACTAGGAATGGTTGACTTGGCCTCTCTGAAAAAATCTAACTTGGTGTCTAATGAGTAGAAATGACAATGCTGGGCACACTGGAGGTGTTCATAGGCCACAGGAGGAAAACTACTATCACTCGGATAGGTGTTTAGGGATTACATTTTGGTGAAAGAAAATAATTTGTTTTAATATGCTGGAAAAGTCTAGAAACAAAACCCTGATGACTAAAAATTATAGACTTTTATGCTGCTGGATTCAAAGGCTCCACTCATCCTGCAAACAAGCAACTCTATGGTTCACTGAGGTGCCCACAGCTCCAATGAGCACTGTGGAAATTCAACAAATACATCATTTTTTAAGATTTGGCCATAAAGAAAAACATTATCTGGTAACGTCAGGGACTTTTATAAAGTAAAAGAATAAGTCCTTTCTTTCATATTTAAATCTCTATGATTTACTACACTCATTTGACAAATTAATTAGCTTTCAACTAGCTTTCCCCCTTTATCACAGAAAATATTAGGTTGTAAGAACAACAACAATACAGAATTGCACAATATACCACTAGCAGTAACCCATAGCTTTTAAAACCATTTATATATGGGTCATCTTCTTGACAATTTGACATTTTAAAAAGGAATCAGTGGGGCTTTGGTATTAACGGCTTCACGTTATGCAATTTTTCTCAAAAGAAATCTAAACCTACAAACTATGTTCTAAAACACCTTCAGAGTGGCTGTATTTTGAAAGCTCCTAGGTGACCACTGTCCACTACAATTTCAAGATGTTTTGAATTTATTTTTAAGAGAAAAGAATAATGGAAAAAGAGAAACATAGCCAATAACATTAAAACAAGCAAATCTTAATGAATTTTCATCATTTTAATAAATATATATCAAGAAAACCTCACTTTATTACAACACATTCATATACAAGCATCTATCATCTAAGTTTTCAACATCAAATGTTTATCAAATATTGAAAATAAAGAACAAACATTACTAGACTATTTAGCTATAACACAAGAGCATATTTTAAAAATTGGTCCTTGTGGACAATTGTCCAAATGATGATCCTACTCATACACTGTATGAATGAGACCTATATTTAATATTGATAGCAATAATAAAAAAGCTTTTATCTTGGAGAAATTGGGAGGACTTACTCATTTCCCCCATTTGGCATTTGGTTCCTGTGAAGTATTGTTTAAGGAGGCCTAAATCAATTAGTAACCTTGGAAATTGGAACACACTTCAGCAGGAGGAGTTGGCTGGAGTGGGAAGAAGAATGGTCAGCGGGCACTCTGAGCACTCTTGCAAATGTACAAATTAAAGAAATATTCAGAAAAATGTTGACCAAATACATAGTAACTATTATAGATTGAGTCCCATTTCTCCAAAATAACTTTCCCCAAACTAAAATCTTTACATTCTTTAAGATAAAACCTTATTGACCACCACATCATTTATTAACATTGTGCTTGTTAATCAACAGCAAAAGTCATATATAAAAAACCACATGCGTTTATAATCTAAACGAGTGAAATGATGCAAAACAGATTAAAGTATAATGCATGCCACTGGTTCATGAACTTCATTGGACAATGAAACAAAACAAAACAAAACAAAACAAAATAACCCAAAACCCAAAAAACCCAAACCCCAGCAACAAACCGTTGCCATAGAAAAGCTCAAGCAGCTAGTGCTGGTTTCTAACAGCTCTCTCTATTGTTTCCTCCATCCCTTTCTAAACATGCCAAATCCAAAAGCAATTGGGCATCGAAAATAAAGGAAGAATAGCGATGTTCAATCAAAAGTTGAATGCAATAGTTCAAAGTTAAGTTTTCAAACAATATTGATCCACCCTGTGTTTTTCGTTTTTTTTTTTTTTTTAATTTTCCTGTTTGTTAAATCCCTGCTGTAACTCTGATTTATCCTTAATTTTCACACTGGCAAAAATTAAGATATAAGGCACCAAAAATCGCCCTGTATAACACCTCTCTGTAAGCCTCATCACTCATCACAGGCAAGCCAGGAACTTGCAGGGATTACCCTCTCCACATAGCGTTGATTGCCACCCCAAGACAGGTGTGCTTCATTATGTTCCATCCTATTTCATTTGTCACACAAGACTGTTAAATACAAATACTTAACAGCACACTGTGAAGCCATTTCATCTAGCTCCCCATGTCAGTCATTTGTTCAGAAAAAATACTGTATCATATAGAAGCAGCAGACATCTTTTGCTGGTTACATTGATTTGCTTACCAAATAACTACCTAATTAATTGGCAAACATGTTGAAGGTTCTTAACTAGTGACAGGCTGCTTGTGTGTGTTTGGGGGGGAGGGCAATGGAAATATCACAAGGGCACACTGGCCCTCAATCTAATCTACTGATTCTCTCTGTAAGAAAACTAAGATATATACTTTTAAGCATTAAGTCAACTGTTTTCTTGGTAAAATCACCACATTTATAAGTAGCTCGCTGATGCCTACTATACAGATGTTTTATGCAATCTGCTCCCTAGGCATTAAAACAACACGGCATGTTCATGGCATAATTTAATCCGTTGTACAAAACTATAAAATCCATTCAAAATAAAATTTATGAGAGCTAATTGATCATGCTGTGCATGCTTCAAAGTTTTGGTGAAAAGATGGCTCATGTTTTATTTCCTTTGCTGCAGCACAGTTTGTTACTTGGTGAAGGCTCCTTTTTCCTCAAGGACTTTTTCCAAGACTCACTTACATTGTTTTTCTCATTACATCCAGTCTCAAAATAATCATAAAACTGGCCTTTGCACTCAAAAGCCAGGTCATTTCCCACAGGTTCATGGCTTAGGGGGCCACCAGCCCTGTTGGTGTCATTATTGGCTTTCTCATCATTTAATTTGGCCTTTTCCTGAACACCAAGTGACCTGACATTAGTAATGAATATTTCATTGGCAGGTATCTGGCCATCACTCTTGTAAATAGGTGGTCTGCCTACATCAAAATCCACCTGATGGGAACAACTCGGTAAAGGCAGAGGGGGAGAGGAAGAGGAAGGTGAGGAGGAGGAGGAAGAGGCAGTGGAGGCACTTCCAACATTAGCATTGACAGAAAGGGGTACATTTAGGTAGTGACCACCACATTCTTGGTAAAAGCAGCAGGCATGGAACTTTTCACACTCCTCTTTGGCCATCCGTGGTCGTTTTCGGTAAGGACAGTCTTGAGCCATAAACCACTCTTGGGCAGAGGCGCCATTGAAAGAGCAGGCTGGAAAGCACCAGTTATTCTGCATGATAATTTCCCCATGGATCCTTTTCATCAAATTGTTTATAAGGACAGATCGTCGGAGGTATACTTCAGGGTCATCGATAAACTTTAGCTTTTCTAAAGACATATAAAGGATGTGGGCTCGCTCCTCAAAAATTGAGATGGTCTACAAATCAAAAAAAGGAAGAGAAAGCTTAGGAAGCAGACGATACACAAATATCATCACAGCCTATCTCTCTTTGGGTAGTTTCTGGGTCTGGGAATGTTGTGGCCTTGTGTCCCGCAGAGTCATGGAGCAATGCTGCTAATGGTCCCCTTTTCTCATTCTGCTGGCGGTCCTGCCCCCTTCCTGACTCACCGGGTGGTCAGGCACAGGGGAATCCAGCCACATGCACACCTCAGCAGTGACAGGAAGTTGGCTTGTTCACTCTTTTATGGCCCAGTGAGGGGATGCAGAAACACAACCGACAGATTTATGGTATCAGAAGTCCAGAGAGTGGTTACTTTGCAGGGCGGGGAGGAAGTGAATAGAAGAGAACACATGGGATCTTCTGGATCTCAAGTTCTGTTTTGTTTCTTGACTTGGGTGCTAACCACATGGGTATGTTCACTTAGGGACAATTCACTGAGCTGTAGCCTTATGATACTAGTGCTTTTAGGTGAGGGTGTTTATCCCTGAGTAACACAAGTGGTTAAGCACTCAGCTGCCAACTGAAAGACTGGCATTTCCAGTGCATACACAGGCACGTTGGAAGAGAGGCCTGCTGATCAACTCCCGAAGAGTCAGCCATTGGAGCACAGTTGTACTCTGACTTACGTGGTTCACCATGAGTTGTGGTAAACTTTGGCAACTGGTTTGTGTTTGGAAGTAATACAGATGGAAAGCTCCTTAGAAGTGAAGACGGACAGACTTTATCTCTTATACTTTGGTCTTTTGTCAGACTATAGATATAGATGTAGATGTAGATGTAGATATAGACTTGATGGCAGTGGGGAAATCAGTTTCCGTAAAGATTCAAAAACCAAATCCCATGCCTAAATCAATTCCAATTCATAGAGACCCTATAGGACAGAGTGGAACTGCCCCACAGGGTTTTCAAGGCTGTAATCTTTACAGAAGCAGAATGCCACATCTTTTTCTCCTGGAGTGGCTGAGGGATCTGAACCGCTGACCTTTTGGTTAAGCTAAGTGTTTAACCACTGTATCACCAGGGCTCCTTATACATATACCTATATACCCGTGCACCACATATAGATTACACTTTAATAAAATGCTGTTTAAAAAATGCCAAGATGCAGGTCATAATGAGTATACTTCAATCCCTGGTCCAGCCATCAAGGAGCATAAGATCTGGCTTTCAGTCTTGCCCTTCTTTAAAAAACTCAGTGCCCCATGCTTGCAATTATCCTTGCTTGATGGAGGACAACAATAATTCGTGTGATTCTGACTCTGACAGGATGTGTCAGACGAAGGGCCAAAGCAGGCTTCCTTCTGGGACTGGGCAGAGAGAGAATGAGAGGATTCACTCCTGTGTGGTGGTTGGTATAAATCCAGTAGCAACTGGAAAATTGCTACAATCACAACACAAAAAGTAAAAAGTAAATAAACTGCTTATGTCTCCAGGGCCAGCTCTTTCAGGTCACAAGAAAAGCAAACTGGCAGGATAAACTAAGGAGCTACTAAACTAGGTCAGGCTGACCACAGGCAGGACCTACACATGGAAGGAAAAGCCCTCCACCTGCCAAGGCATCTATCCAGATGTCTTGTTATGAGCAACATCTACAGGACTGGAGCCCAAGAGGAGAAAGAGAGGAAGATGAATTAAAAATACCCCCAGCATTTCAGACAGTTATGGCTTACGTTATCCCTGGGTGGTGCAATTGGCTCAGCACTCAGCTGCTAATCAAAAGGCTGGAGGTTCAAGTCCATCCAGAGGCAGCTCGAAAGAAAGGCTTGGTGATCAATTTCTTAAAAACCAGTCATTGAAAACCTTATGAAATACCTGGGGTTGCTATGAGTTAGGATGGACTCACCAGCTTTTTTTTTTTTTCCCCAGTATACCCTCCATGATTATGAAAGCAACAGATAGCTTTGGAAAGATCAGCATAAGGAAAAACATATTTAAAAAGCTTAGGTGGCCAGTTTCATAATTCTATGCACTTTCCCAATCCTGTTATTTTCTTCCTATATATCAAAAAAGTTTGCTTTGGTCCTTTTTGGGAATGAGTTATATATCTTAATAAACCTAATATATGCAATGAATGGGCAATAAACTGTATCACTCTAATGCACACACTCCAGGGTTTTGAGTCTATCCCTAAGAGGTTAGGAAAAGCCCGGGAGTTCTGGTAGCATAGTGCCTAAGAAAGGCAGGAAGAAAGGATGGTTGGGCAATCTACTTCTGTAGTGATACTGTAGTGATACTGCCTCAGAAACCTAAGGAGGGGATGGCTATGAGTCGGGGCCAACTCGACGGCACATAACAACAATAACAACCACCCTCCCTCCCAGCGGGCAAACACGGAAGGGGACTGAGATTGCACAGGGCAGGCAGAGCTCGGAGAGGGAAAAGTATGTCAGAAAAGAACAATGAAATTTCTGCATATGTGAAAGTACAGGATAACCATAACCATTACAGCCACTTGAGAAAAATTAAATCCTAAGTTAAAAAAGACATTTCTTGGATTATTTAATTTTGTTATTTCTGGGTAGAGAAGCTCTTGCTGCTCTTTCTTAAACTACTTCACAAAAAATAACACAAGACCTAAAAAAGTGACAACGATTAATGTGGTTTTGCTAAGAACTGGCTCATTTTCATTGCTTGGGTGGAACAATTTAATTTCTGGAAATGGATCAAGCAACTGTTACTAAGTATCTTAAACTCTTAATAAAAATAATGACTATTAAAAAAACATACTTTATGGCTACAGCTGCTGAGTGGTGGGTGAAAATCCTCTTCTTCCACATACTTCCTCTTAAAGTATGTGATCTTGGATGTTGTTATAGGATTTGAAATTCCCCTGTAATGTGATCCTGTGGTAATAAATCAGATATGACAAATGACATGCGGTTTGCCAGAGGTTCTCCAAACAAAATACTTGCGTTTCCTTTCCTTCTAGAGGATAGCTAGGTTGCATATTTGTCTGTACATGTGGTGATTAAAAATAAACATTTGTCTTCCTAGTTGCTATCATACGGAATCCTATGACCCAGGCTGAGCAAGGACTTCCAGTCAACTACAGAGGAAAATGAGATAGCTCAGGATTTACTGAACACTCAGAATCTTAATTCTATGCACAGGTAAATAGCAAAATCTGTATAGGGGAAGACTGTAACAACTCGGAGACAATGTTAGTACCTATTCAAATTGTTTAGTTAAATCCATGATAATGTAACACCACTATTTAAATGTATACAACTTTAACTACAACCACTGGTGACCAACCAACTTTAAAATATTGGTCCTAGGCAAGTAAACAAATGGTTATCTGCACACTGGAGTTAGAATAGTCCTTCTTTCAAAATATGAAATTTAAAATTTTTTAAATTTAAAATTATTATGTTGGGCAACTAAAGTCCGTTTCACCCTCAAAATTGTTAATCATGAATAAAAGCAAAGTCATCTTTTTTCTTTTAAAGGCCAGAGTTTTTACTCCTTTTTAGCAAAACTAACTTCACTGAGCTTCTGTTTTACATTTTAGTTTTTTTTAATATAGCTGCTACTATACGTACATCCAAAAGAACTTAGAAAGTAAAAAATAAAGAGTCAGGAACAACATATTTCTATCTTCTTGGTTTTTATAAAAAAATTTTTCCTACCATACCGAAGCCAACTGTGTGCTTAATAAAAAGAAAGAATATATAGCTTCTGGCCCCAAGTGTAGATTCCTCTAAGTCTCATTGGCTAGAGATTGCATTGTTAAGCCATACGGTTCCACTGGGTAGAAAACCAAAAGCCAAACCCAGAGCTTGAAAATCTGGTTTGGTTTTCTTCAAAATAGAGATGCATGACTTACACATGAAGCAGCGGTGCAGGTAGATGCAGGCTGGGGTGCATTTTAAATATCACCTCTGGTTCTCTCCCTGGAACCCTGGGCTCGGTTATGAGGAGTACTTAGGTAGCCAATTAAGTCCCTGGAGCTCAAGCTCTTTCCACTCGGAAGGGCACCCCAGACACCACCTCACACCTACCAGTTTGGCCCCAGAGGGCAACAGAGAAAGGTCAAAGGCAGTACCTGCCAGAGGGGGACCAGCTCCCCGGTCTCCCTGCAGAGGGGCCTGCACTGGCGCCGGAGAGCTCGGGCCTCTGTAGCTGTCAGCCTCCCATAGTGTCTGGTACCCAGCAATTTCAGCAGCTCCTTCCGAGACAATGGGCTCGCAGAATCTATTCATGGACAGAACCAGAGTCATCTCTGACAGCCTCAGATCTGGAAAAAAAAAAAAGGAATAAAACTCTCATCGGGGCAAGCCCGGGGATGGCCTTGACAGGTTCATTCCTTCGCTCTGAGGAAACTTTTGCTCCTCAGTCCTCCCCTTCACCCTGAAACATTTTATTATTTTTTCAAAGAAAACCTCAGCAAAGTCTTTTGCTGCTATTAGCTCAGCCTCTGTGCTCAGCAATCTGCGTTTCATGGGCGGTTCTTTAAAACCCCATTTCTTATTGTTCTCAGATTCCCCTCAGCCCTCTTCGAGACAGCTGCTTTACCTCCTAAACACATTTTCCTCATGACCTTCCCGCAGAAAATGTACCGCTAAGAGGCAAGGCCAAAACCCTTGCGCTTCCTTTCTATTAATAAGGCAAAATCAATTTTCTACTCAATCCCCCGAGAGTCTCCTTTGATGAAAATCTGCTAATCAATCAAAAAGAAAAAAAAGGGGGGGATCACCACCGTAATTCCAACTGATACTCAGGTTCACAGTCTGTTCCACTGGCCCTGCCCCTCCTCTTGTTTCCGTGGGGCCAGTCCCTCTACAACACTCTGGGGCTCCTCCACTTTCTTCTCCCAAAATGAAGCAGACAGAGACACTTGGTAGTTGTTTCCACCAGCCCTGATCGGACTGAACTGGATCTGCCTCCAGTCAAAACACTGTGAGATGAAGACAGAAAATTGGCTCCAGTTTCAAGCCATGAGTTGCAGTCCCACAGGAGCCAAGCACAACATCAATGGAGCAGGCAGAATATTAAACAGGAGCCACGGCTTTGGGGGCAGAGACAGCCAACAACTCTTTACACCGCAAACCCAGACACCAGGCAGGAACTTTCCAAGAGGCAACACATCACTGCCCTTCATTCCAGTTCATGCCCTGAGCCCTGAATACAGGCCTGCTGGGAGTCTGGGAGCCTCTGGGTTCTGTGATGTGACATGGGCCCCTGTACAGCTCAGGTGATGGGGTCATTTCCATGGGGCTCAGTTTCTTCACTCCGTCCTAAGAAGGGCTCAGGGTAGGGTCAAAAGTGAGGTGAGTTCCAAGGGGTGAGGGGGAAGGAAGGGGAAAGGAAGACTCAATACTTAGGGGACACTAAGCTTCTGTTATGGGAGATAAAAAAATCTGGGAACAGTTAAAGGATGATGGCTGAACAAGATGACCAAAAATTAATGTACAAATTAATGTACATGTGGAAATTGTTGACAAGGCGATTGTTTTGTTTCATGTATTTCACACACACACACATACACAATTAAGTGAATTCAAGGGAGAAAAGGGTTTGATATTACAGTCAAAAGACCTAGGGGCCATAGATCAGTTGTGACAGCAGAGACCATAACAACAGAGCAGCCTCAATGCCTTGTTAACTGCCAATTCCTTTAGGAGACCCAAACCTCCACTATCCCACTTTGTGGTTTAAGGAACTGTCAGAAAGAGTGATGTCAGGCCTGCTTTCTTAAGATTGATTGTCTTTCAAATATACACTAAGGGTCTAATTCTTACTTTCTTCTCCAAATTATATAGCTTGTAAAGCTTTTGAGAAAGAGAAAAATCTACCATTGTCTCATGGAAGACTATCATTATCTACATGTTATAACAGGGTCCACTTCCAGGTGAAGGGAGGGAAAACACCAGAGTAAGGGGAAACAGCTTCATTAAGGGGACAATATACTTCTGGCTAACAGAGGTGCTCTTGACAGCAACGACTCCATCGTTCACCCAGGTTTCTCTGAGGGCCCAAATTCTGTCCCAACCACACTGAAGAATGAAGCAAATAGCCTTCTGAAAGGCAGAGAAGGTGTCCACATCAGTGACTGAAATGAGGACTCAGCTGAGTTTGGCTGCTAAGTCAGCTACCCCGTCTCTTTTAAGATGCCCTACAGCACCTCTAAAGAGTCAGCAGCAAGGACTCATTAAAACATCTTACAAGAGAAAAAAAAAACAAGTTCTCTATAAAGAAATGATGGGATATGCCACTTAATCTGCTCTTTGAGTCATCAACCAAGAAATTTAGCCGACACTGATTTAACAAACTAAGCCATTCTGTCTACCACCCCTCAAAGTCACCATCCACGTCAATTACCAGAGCTTATGAGCATTTACTTGCTGGGAGACTCATGAAATGGTCCAATTTTTTAACCTAGTCTAAAAGACAATTGTATCAGGTAATGCTATTGCCAGGAGCAAATGGATCATAGCTTTTTTTTTTTTTTTTTAAATCAAATTCAGTAGTCTTATTGACTACAACAGTATTTTCCAGCTTGAAATTTACACACATATTTTATGCTGGATTCTGGGAAACAGATTAAATCTTTTTGCCTACGTAGAACTTTTATTACATATAAATAAAAATAACTAGACCTACCCACATCCCTTAAGAAAATAAAGCATTTGCAGGCCTCTAGCTCCAATTATCTCTGTTTAATAGGACATTATATAGACCCTGTGCTGCTTCATGTTAGTCAAGAGTTTGTTTATATTTTAATGACTTACTGTTGGGATTTTATTTTTTTTTTTGGTTGTTAAGGATTTCTGTATTTCTAGTTGTTTCTCATTTCCAGCACATTAAATTCTATCATTAAGCATGTGAACTTAAAACTTGGCATCATTATTTCTACCTTGACTATTTTTCTTTACAATATCTCATTTCAGCAACTTTTTCTTTTTTGAATTGGAAACTTTTACACACAAAATCCTAAGCTGGAGAGGCTAAATTCTCCAAGTGATTTATGTAAGTCTGAATAAAACATGAATGAGTTGGAATTACTTGAGAGCAAGGAGGAGACTTTACATTCCTACTCTATTTAAAACTTACATGGGGATGTTAAATTAAAAAGGCAAGTTCAACATTCATGAAAAATTGGAGTGCACAGTGTTAAGCACCTATGTTTCACGTGATTGTGTATTATATGTACAGATCCAAACTATTACTCTCTGTAGGATGAGATTTATGTTAAAATTCTGCTACTGACTTCAGAAATTGAAATTCACAAATTTAAAGTGGTGTTAATATTAAATAAAGCCACAGAGTTATACTTATGACAAAATTTGTTTTTTAACATCAGAGGTGAGTGGATTCAAAAGGAGGGCATTAAAATGTGTTGTGACCATACAGGGGCTTAAAGAATAAAATGAGAAAGCCCTAGCCCATCATCTGCAGGCTCCTGCATGTCTATTTTGTAAGCCAAGTGGATGTAGTAGAATGACACCTCAAGCATCCCCAGCAGACTGAGGGCTAAAACGTGAAGCTTTAACAGCAGGTGTTCACAGTAAAGTTACCTGGCATTTCTACATAATTTGGTTTTTCCAGATCAATTGGACTTGTTCTTTTCCCTGAGCCATTATGATGCTAATGGCTGTGGCTGGCATACAGCGTAGGTGCCCCTGATGCGGAGGCACCTTTAATCTAACGGGGGTGCCTGGTCATTCTTTGCCCCTCCCTACATCTATCACTAGAAATTTGACAACATTTTATTAAGAGTAGCTAGAGGTCTGATTCCAATATTGAAAAGGAGGGAAGGAAAGGGCTGATATTTCCAATTCCCCTTGGATGGGTTGCCAGTCTTTTAACTGTCCTTCCCAGGAGGAATCAAGCCCCTGACACCTCAACCTTGTCCATAACATGATTTCAACAGTTTGTCCAGCTTTTGCTGGTAGTGGTAGAGGGGGGTGGATGGGCAGAACAAAATCCTAAGCAGACAGATGCTGCTTTTCTGCTAGTCCCCGCAGTGCACCTGTCTGCCCTGAGAAGTGTATTTCTCAGCTCCAGCCCCAGGAGGTCTGGAGTTTTAGGTAAGGTCCTGGGGCTAGGAATGCGATTGTAGGGTCTGAGGGGGTTCTTGATGGGCAAGCCCTCGCACTGGATCTCCCCAGACCAGACTCAATAGGAAGGTCCGAGGTTTGGAAGACCGACCCCTGTGTGAGGGCGGTGTCCACTTTGTTCTGGCTCCTGCACAGGCACATCCCCGGGGGTCAGTGTTGCAGCCTCTGACCCCTCTCTTGGGTAGCCTGCAGCGCCCGCCTGGCCGTCGTCCGCAGGAGAAAGTAAACAACACCTCAAGTGTCTGGGAACAAAGGGCAAGTTGTCTTTACGCGGTGCAGGAGCAGTGTGCTTTTCCAGAAGAATATGAGCTATTATCAATCTTCTTTTTCTTTCTTTTTTCTCCTTCTTCTAATTCTTTTTTTTTTTTTCTTAAAAAAAAAAAAAACCAAGTTTCCTTCTAAGGGAAATAAACACCAAAGGTAGAATTCCAAGGAAATGACTCACGGCGGTTGGCAGGGCTCTTGCGAAGCTGGCCCGGGCCCCGCGCTCCAGCCCGCAGCAGATGCCAGCCCGGCCCTCCCTCCCTCCCTCGAGGACCAAACACACTCAGAATCGGCGGCTGCGGGAGCGCCCTTCGAGCCGGGAAAACCCGGGCAGCAACGACACTGCCCGCGCCGCCCGCCGGGCGTCCTCCCTGTCCACGCCACCCCAGCCCTGGGGCCGCTCTCCCTCCCGCCCCTGCGGCACCAGCCGGGCACTTCGGAAAGTTGCTAAGGCCGAGGAGGCGGGAGGGGAGGAAGGGAGGAGAGAGGCGGAGGCGTGGACCAGGCGGGCAGCAGCCTCAGCCCGCCAGGGAGGTGAGCTGAGGACAGAGGAACCGCCGCCGCCCGCAGCACGGCTCGGCTGCTGGGGAGGAGGGTGTGGGGGCTGAGGTGGTGGGGGGACAGAAGGTGTCAGCTCTTGCAGCTATTCCTTTTTCTTTCAAACGCGCGCTCCTGACATCTACAATCCCTCCCTCCCCACCTGCCAAGGGCCGCAGCTTCCAGACCTGGGAGCATCCCTGATACAGGCCCCCTTCCGCTAGGATGAAGCAATAAGGCGCGACCGAGGACCCTGAGGTCCCAGCAGCGGGGCGGTCTCCACCCGCCCCTTGACTCAGCTGTGTCCGCGCGGGCGGCAACCCGAGCAGCCCGGGAGGGAGCGGCGATTCCCGCCCGGGTAAAGGCGCCGCGGTGCTGGCCAACCCCGGGAAAAGCCGCTGTGCCCCGGCCGCGCCCGGGCCAGTGCGAGTCATCTCGGTGACTCCGGCGCAGCACTGGGCAGGAGGGCGTACAGGAGGCCGCGTGGATGCCAGTCCGTGCAAGCACTCGCCCCGGGGACCGGCTCTCGCCCTCCACTCGCCGCGGCCTCCCGCCCCCGCGGCCCGCTCCCAGCCGGTATCTTACCGCGGGGTCAGCGGGGAGGCGGCGGCCGCAGCGCTCGAGCTGCTGCTGCTTGTCCGCTCTGGGCGCAGCGCCAGCCCAGCCACTGGTGCACGCTCGCGCCGGTCCCGGCCCGGCGGCCCGGTCGGCGTTGGCCGCTGGTACGCGGCGGGCGAGGGTCCCGGCAGGTCCCGCCGCCGCGTCTGGGGCGCTGCGCCGCCGTCGCTGCAGACGGTTATGGTAATGAGCGGCTCTGTCTAGCGAGGAGCGTGTGAAACCCGTCAATCCTGTTTGCCATTTCCCCGTGGATTTCCGAGGAGAGGTTCTGCAGGATGCCCCCAGGGTGAGAGAGGGAACATGACAAGCGCGCCCGCTCTCTTTCCCTCCCGCCCTCTGCTCCCGCCGCCGCCGCCGCTCCTCAGGCAGCACACGGGGCGCCTTCCCCTCACCCGCACCCCAGCCCGCCCCCAGCCTCCTTCCCGCCCTCACTCCTCCCTCTCCTCCCCTTTCCTCCCGGTGCCCGGGGACATGCGGGCCAAGCTCCAGCCCGCAGACCAGACCCCACGCGCTCCGGGCTCCCGCCCTAGCCTTGGGGGCTTGGCTCCAGCCAAATAATGTATTAACTCTGCAACCTTCTGAGCTGTCTTGTCTTTTTTTTTTTTTTTTTTTTTGATCTAGTTTTTTATTTACCCTTCCCTCCCTTCTCCTCTCATCCCTGGTAACCATCAAAGAATGTTTCTTTTCATGTATAAACTTTTCCTAGTTTTGTTGCTGTTGCTGCTGCTGGTGATGGTGGTGGTAGTGTGTGCGTGCATGTGTGTGTATGTGTGTGTAATTTAAAAAAAAATCTGGGCCTTTCCCACCCTTTGCAAAAGACTTTCTTCTCCTTTGCCACAGAAAACGGAGATGAGAAACAGATGTCTTTGCAGGACCAAACAGTTATTCTCCCCTCGCCGCCCGCCCCCGCCCATTCCCCTCCTGAGCGGCGACTGTATAAAAAATCAACCTAGGTCCTGCTGCAACTTGAATTGGCAACTCTTTCTGGGTGGGGAGCCTCCAGGGAAAACCTCCCGGAAATAAAGTTTTTAAAAAAAGTAATAAAGGAGGCTGTCCTTTGTCAGGAGAAATGTAATTTAAGCCCCGGAATCACATTATTTGGCAAATAATTGTTTTTCTTTGAATTGGGCTCAATTGGAGTTTGTTTTTTGAAACATTAATTCATAATTTCTGTCTAGGGACCCCTCAATAGAGATGGGTCATTTCAGGTGTAATGCACGCAGAGGCTTAGAAGGCATAGACCTAATAAACTAAGGGGAAGGCACCTGCACAAAAGTGTTACAAAGACTATAATGTTTGTTTACTGCTACTGTGCCAGATGTGCTAAATATAACACTTCTTTAAAACAGTGATCCTCCGACTGTGAAAAATCAAACCTCTTGCTGCCTGGCACCCTAGGAATCAAGTAGACACACAGACTGAAAATCAGGGAGGAAAGGAAAGAGATCAAGGATGAGGATTAGCATCTGCAAATTGAACTGTATCTAATTTGCATGTTTATTTCTTAGAATTGTAATTAAATTTGTGTAATAAATGCTTTCCATTTCATTTGTACACTTAAAATTTGGGAGACTGACATACAGTTAAGTGAATTTTTTTTTTAAAGCACACGTGGTTTATTCAATAACACAGCAAACAAATATTAAACATAATTAGAACTAATCTGTTTTGCAGGTATTTTGGTTGAACTTTGTACATTAAAGACTCTAAAAGGTTTTCAGGGTATTAGGAAGCTGAGAAAAGGCAATTATGTTGAAAACAGACTAACTCAACAGACTTTCAGAAGCATTATTTCATTTTTTTCCAGAAGACATTCCAGGTTGCATGCCTAAAATTGGGAATTGGGCATCTATCTTGGCTTTTTACTGAGCCATATTAAATTAAATTGGCTCATGCACCATGTAAGCTATTATGATGATCATTTAAGAAATGCAATGATGGTATTTTGTGCAATCAATGGGAACTCCATGCCCAGGTTAAGGTGGAGTACAATTCTCATTTTGTGGAGGAGGGTAAGAAAGGGCACAGGGACTTTCAGTGCAAGTACTTGAAAATTGAAATCAGTATTTAAAACTGGTTAGTGTCTAACTTAAATAAGGAAGTAAATGTAAGGGCTTGGAGGCATGGCTTGTTATTGTTTTTATCTCCCTATATTAAACTTTTATAGCATTTAAAGGACTGTAGGGAAATCCCACATACACTTGGCTGTGTCAAAATACATAAAACCAAAAGGAGCAAATTAAGCATAAAATTGAGAAATAACATGAGACTAAGTATCAGCATGGGTCGCATTGGCATCTTTGGAGCTTTGGCTCTGAGAAACAAGCCTTCTGGGAAATTGGCATTGCCTTTGGTGGCGGGGTTGGGGGAAGGACTCTTGGTATCATGTTATAACAAAATGTTATCACAACACAAGTATCAAATCATCGTACTTCACAGCACCCTTGTGGATCTGAATTTGAACTTGACCCTGTCCTGTTCAGATAGGTTAGGTTAGCATGATTCATTGACAACTTTCCCTGCCCTACTTTTAATCTCAGGCTTAATGTTTTCTGAAATTCAGTGCTTAACTGTTGACATCATGAGCCTGTGTCTACAAGTAGAAAAGGTAGTTAAATTTTCACTGAATGAGAAACATCATTTAAACCTTTAAGGTGAGTCAGTGGTGGTTATGGCACAGGAAAAGAAGTAACTGTAAATCAATAATGAAATATCTGGAATGAGTGAATATAATTTATAATGAAGTTACAAAATTCAACTTGAGAACTATGCAGTCATTATATTGGCATATATTTGCGTATGTGGATGTGTATGAAGTTCTGATATAGAAGTTTGATTATAAAACTTAAAATAACTTGAGCTGCAAATTCACTGAAGGCAGTGATTGTTTTTCTTCAGTGAACAAAGAGAGTGCCAGACTTAAAACTGCTGAAACTTTTTATTATTGGAAAAGATATCTCACAAGTAAAATTTTACGTAAGCAGATGGAGGACATGATGAGGATGTGATGCCCATTTGGATTAACGAAAGCATGAATTTCTAGCTTTTTTTTTTTTTTAATGTGCAACCTCTTTATAGCAAAAAGAGTCATCTATCCTCAATCTCTCCCATTCATCTTCTCCCCAATCTTAAACCCTCTCCAGTTAGGCTCGTATCCTACCACTCCATTGGAACTGGTCTTGTCAATGTCACCAATGATCTCCATGTTGCTAAACTCAAAGGTCATGTATTTGTTCTCATCTTACTTGACCTGTAAGCAGCATGCTTACAGTCAGGAGCAGTCAGGACATTAGACGCCGTGTAGCATTGGGAAAGTCAGCTGCGAAGGAACTGTTTCAAGTGCTGAGGAGCAAGGATATCTCCTTGAGGACTAAGGTGCGCCTGACACAAGCCATGATATTTCCAGTCGCCTCGTATGCATGTGAGAGCTGGACAATGAATAAGGAAGACCGAAGAAGAGTTGATGCTTTTGAGTTGTGGTGCTGGCGAAGAATACTGAAAGTACCATGGACTGCAAAAAGAACTAACAGATCTGTCCTGGAGGAAGTGCAGCCAGAATGCTCCTTGGAAGCAAGAATGGCCAGACTTCGTCTCACCTATTTTGGTCATGTTGTAAGAAGGGACCATTCCCTGGAGAAGCATGTCATGCTTGGTAGGGTGGAGGGTCGACGAAAGAGAGGGAGGCCTTCAACGAGATGGATTGACACGGTGGCTGCGATGATGGGCTCAAGTATAGCAGGGATTGTGGGGCTGGCGCAGGATTGGGCAGTGTTTGTTCTGCTGTGCATGGGGTCGCTACGAGTTGGAAACGACTCGACGGCACTTAACAACAACAACAAGCAACATTTGACCCAGTTGATCATTTCAGCCAAAACAATGAACTCAAACACCCCAATGATCATGAAGATGGCACAGGACTAGGCAATGTTTTGTTCTGTTATGTGTAAGGTCACCACTGGAGCTGACTTGATGGCAATAGAATAGCCCCATAGAGTTCCCAAAGCTGTAATCCTTATGCAAGCAGATTTCCACATCTTCCTCCTGTGGAGCAGCTAATGGGTTTGAACCACTGACCTTTTGGCTCACAGGGCTAGCTACTGCACCACTGGAGCTGCCTAATAATAACAACCTCCTTGAAAAACTTTTCATTCTTCATTCCAGGTGAACACACCCATCTGAGTTGTCTCCTACCTTATTGATTGTTCCTGCTTAGTCTCCTTTTTTGCTTCCTCCTCTTCTCTGTGATGTCTTATTGCTGGGATGCCTCAAGCTCATTCCTTAAACCTTGTCTCTTCTCTAAAGCCATTCCCTTGCTGATACCTATTCTAATAGCTTGAAATATCCTACTTATATGCTGATGACTCCCAAATTTATATGTCCATCTCAGATCTCTTTCCTGATTTCCAGACTCCCCTTGGGTGTCTAATAAGTATCACAAGTTTCACAGACCCACCTCCAGCCTGTGCCACCCTTAATATTCTCCATCCCAGTCAATAAACCACACGGTTTTACTAGATCCCCAGGCAAAAAAAATCTTTGGAGGCGTCCTTGACTCTATCTCCCTTTTTTCTTCTTCACACCCTATACCTAATAATCAGAAAATCCTAAAGACTCTACCTTTAAAATTTTTCCAGAATCTGGTCACTTGTGATCATCTCTACTACCACACTGGCTCAAGTCACTATTGTCATCCTTTGCTTGGGTAATTATGTTGTTGTTGTTGTTAGGTGCTGTCGAGTCATCTCGGACACACAGTGACCCTATGCACAGCAAAATGAAACATCGCCCGGTCCGTGCCAGCACCACGATCCCTGCTATACTTGAGCCCATTGCCACAGCCACCGTGTCAATCCATCTCGTTGAGGGCCTTCCCATCTTTCATTGACCCTTTACCTTACCAAGCATGACATCCTTCTCCAAAGAATGGTCCCTTCTGACAACATGACCAAAGTAGGTGAGATGAAGTCGGGCCATTCTAGCTTCCAAGGAGCATTCTTACTGCACTTCCTCCAGGACAAATTTGTTAGTTCTTTTAGCAGTCCATGGTACTTTCAGCATTCTTCACCAGCACCATAACTCAAAAGCATTAATTCTTCTTCGGTCTTCTTTATTTATTGTCCCTCTCACATGCATA